AAATAAAACCTTGAGAATTAGACGGCAAATTTGATACCACCTGCAATGTCAGCTTTAGGCAACCCGCATGTCAAAGCGGAAGGGTTCAAAGATCCTAGAACCGTGGATACATTCATTTTGGAAGCTTAACTACTAGAAAACCAAGAAAAAATATTTAAAATCAGACTTTTTTTTTCGTCGCCCATGACCGACCTCTACCATTGACTCGATCCACCGTGCGGCGCAGAGAGCAATGATGTCGAGAACTTGAGATGAAAAGGAGAAACCCTCGGTGCGGCGTACACATGTAACACATAAAAGCGCCTACAAGACTGTATGAATACTTCGCGCATTGCGTCAAAGAAATGCGGTCGCTGCGGGCAGCAGTGGGCGGCGTGAAACGCGTAGCGCCTACAAGACTGCATGAATACTTCACGCATTGCGTCAAGCACAGTGCGTGCAGCAGCGGTCAGCGTGAAAAGCATAGCGCATACAAGACTGTAGGAATACTTCACGCATTGCGCCAAACACAGTGCGGTCAAAGCGGCGGCGGAAGTTAAAATTATTAAACCATATTTATGTTTGTTCTTTCATAATTTTTTCGTTCATTTCATATGAATGGAAGGCCTTGACCACATAGAGATAGGTTTACGGAATTGCTTAAATTTCGCGCCAAGTTCCGTAAACTTTCGCTAGTAATGTTGACAGGGCTTTCCCAAAAAATGAATCCAACACGAGTAAATGCGTCTTATACACCCCTCCTCCTCCGGCATGTCCACTCGATGGTTTTCATTGATGTTTCAAAACAAATGAGAAGGGGGCGGCAAAATACAGGCGGCCCATGGGCGGCAAGTAAACAAATCCGGCCCTGCACAGATTGCGCGCTTAGGAGTGGATTTCAGACTTTTTTAATGTGTCCATCGTTAGTTTTAAGCGAATTTATCCTTATGCAATCTATTCAGTTGGCATGTATCTCTTGCGTGCAACAAACCCATCTTGCATCAGGAAACTATTGTTTCCTGCTCATTTCAGAAACTTTGTATGTATCATTAGTTCTTTATGCAGACACTCGCTTCATGGGTGAGTAAGAGATAGCAGTGCCTCAGAGCTACATAGTCCATGGGTTCGGGGAAGGGCGAGTAAGTACTCACCACTTTTCGAGAAGAACTTAACGCTGTCTATAATACTCTCGCTTTTTAGAGCCCACGTTAAATAAAAAACAAATTAGGCTGAGCGACCATTTTAAAGGATGGACATAATAACCGTTTAGCATGAGAATGGACGGAGAGCCTCTGCATTTTTCCTATGAATCTAGCGATTTAAATAAAGCTGGTAAACATTTTAAGATAGGTCAGCGAGCGGGGCGTGATCTGCTGCAATGACGCATGCATCGTGACGGAGTCGTCCTCCAGAGAATGTTGCAACATTAGCTCAGCTACTCCGCGCGCCGAAAATTATTTTGAGAAGCTATACCGCTGTTCTCAGAGTTGCTCGCTGGAGTCTGTCGGTCTCGACCGCAGATTATACACACAGAATAGTGGCGCGGCGTACTTTGCGATGTGTCGATTGATCTGCCATTTAAACCTGCAGAAAAGGATCGGTAGACAGGGTGTCTGCAACGAACACCGTAATAATCTATTCTTTAGCATACCTTCAAATGGGGATGATCGACCTTTTACGCCTCGCTACAGACATAGCACAATTTTGACACATTGTACGAGTTTTCCACATGTATACATGTACATGTTGCAAAATCCTCGTCGTTCATTTCAAAAAATGTTTTTTTTTTTTTTTACCTCTCACGATCATCAAGCCGGATCATAATAATCAAAGGCATTCAAGTGGGGTTTCAGGACATTCCGTCAACGATTTTTTGTCCGCGCACCTGTTTTGTCCAGTAGTTTACGTCCACGCGGAAAATAAAAGTTGTGTTGAAAGAAACTACATAAAAATGAATGAAAATGGAAGAAAAACCAAGAAGCACGCACTCATTAGTTTTAACCCGTATGACTATATGTACATCGATCTTTTAGAGTCAAATACGTCCGATTTCGAGCGTTTGGTTGCGCGGACACCGCGCTGAAGCACAGTAAAAGCACAAAATATAAAATAAAACATTAAATTTGACACAGAACCACCGTGCAAAACACATTTTATATTTTCCTCAAATACAATTTTTTTTCCATCAATTTAAATGAGGAAAATCCATGCAGAGTGTGCAAAAATTTCAAAATCATGAGCTGAAGAACACCGAATCCGCGATTTCAAATATTACGAGCCATAACACAGAGCGGAGCGGCGTGCTACCGGCGCGAAACGCGCACTAACGCCTATAAACCTAAGGGGATACTTTACGCATTGCGCAATGCTTGAAGTATCCCCTTAGGTTTGTAGGCGCCATTGCGCGTTGGTAGATGGCCCGCCGCCCGCCGCGCCGCAGCATGCCACGGCGACTCAAGCAACTATTTCACAACAGAGGTGTTGCACAGTATCAAACGAAATTGAAGGCGCTCCAACATTTTAAAAATGATAGTCATCCTTTAAGAGTACGAAGCTTTCCTCGGAAAATGAATTAAGGTACTACGGCACGAACTTCCCTGCCGAAAAAACGCGTAGACATTAACTACTAGAAGAACCAGGCGTGCGGACAATAAATCGTTGTCGAAATGTTCTTCAACCGTGGCGTGGCGTGAATTGCGATGTATCGATTGTTATACCATTTAAACCTATGGAAAAGGATCTATAAACAGGGTGTTCGCAGCGAACACCTTAATGATCGATTCTCTCCCATAGGTTTCAATGGCATAACAATAGATACATCGCAATTCACGCCAAGCCACTGATAATAATGGGTCACTGAACCTTGTGTTTTTCATTTAATATTCTGGAAGAAGTAGGTGAGTAGATTATGTAGTGATTTATTGCGTATTTTTGGAGCCAAAATCCCGGACAGGCCCGGTTTTCAAATGTCATAAGACTCGAAAGAGTTTCCGCTGGAATGACGGGGAAATGATGGAAGTGATGTATGTACTACGGCAGTCAGATCGCTATCTCCTCTCATTTTCTTTTGATGTGTATTAAAATAATACGTACTTCAATGTGCCTTTAAAACTGAGGCCGTTCAAATTTTGCAGATAAGCTGCACTGTTGAGCTGCGTATTTCTCAGTTTTTAAGTTTCACTTTTTCGCGTTTTTAATATGTGTGTATTCTATGTGTCATTTTCTTTCGGCAAAATGTATGTGCAAGTCAAACTTTTTTTATTGCTTAGTGACCCATCAGAGAGCTGGCCAAATTAGAATGGAATTTAATTATTCTGTATTTCAATATAATATGCAGTAGCTCACTTAGAGTGCTTACTCACTTAGAGTAAATTAGATGTTTCAAGTAATAACTCATGTCAGCAAAAACTATAAGGAAAAGTTTCGTCGAGTGTTAGTCAGTAAACAAATAGTTACACTAATAGTGCAAAAATCGACGGTGTAAGTCGGCAATCACATAACTCGGTTTGCGACGTCGCAGACTTCCTGTCATACTTTATTTTTTAAATGGAAAACTACTCAACGGAAATTCTTTAAAACTGTCATGATTTTTCTTCTCAATGCAAAGAAAATTCTGCAAAAACTTCAAGAAATAATGCCAATTTGTTCTCCTTTAAAAAAAATGACGTAGAGGCAGAGATTTTTAGACACCGCATACGAGTTATGTGATTGCCGACTTTCACCGTCGAAATATTATCCTTTTACGGTGATCTTTTTCTTTCTTTTTCAAAAAAGACTCAAAGCAAACGAGCACAACAATGATGATAAATTCAGGAGAAACAAATATTTTTAATCACTTTTTGCGTGGAATTACAAATATTAGTGGTAGGTGAAAATACAAAATTGAAAAATATAGACTTACCAATGAATGTTATGAAGAATACGTCTCTCATTTTGTATTTTATTTTTCAGTCTTCTCAGGTCATAAAACTGGAACCAAAACACGATCAGACATTAGAAAAATAAAACATTTACATTAAAATAAAATTATATCTATGATGAAGTGGATCATAAATACGAAATCTTTCACAAAAAGTGTCCCTCCGCGCGTTGAAACGATTCTACCGGTTGTGACATAATGTGGCAACCTCCTCAAGATTGGAGACTCCATTACATACGTGAATAAAATCAATACAATCATACCCTTCATTTTCACCAAAGAGTAAAATCTTCGACAGATATACTTTTGTCGAAGAGTAGATCTCGGCGTGTCACTATAAACCCACACATTCAAGGCAAAATCACTGAATCGTGGGAAATTCATCTTAGAAGAAGTTGTCAAAACCTATCAAATACAGTCTTTTTCGTGTCTCTTCTCTGGAAACGCAGGAGCCACCGTCTTAATTTTTTCAAAATAAGTTCGCGGGAGGGGCCAACCAGATCCCGTGCACTATGGTGGTGGTTGGGGGTGGCGTTGAGATCTTCCAAGAAGATTCCTACAAAAACTGGATTTTCCAATCTGACATACTAACATATACTTAGCGCACGCTTATGTCCACAATTAAGAAATTTGAACTCCTTATAGGCGAGCTCATAATACATGATTTACTATAAAAGTGTGGAGGATATAGATCCAATGGACATAATCAATCGGAAAATAAAAACATAAGCCAATTGACAGTGACTCGATTGACACCGATTCGCTCGACAATTAATTAACAATCCTAGTTTCCATTCGATCGTCATGAATCGATCAAAAAGTGAAAACGTGAATCGATCGACAGTGACTCGATACATGCTGATTCGGTCAAAAAAATGTCATTGACTCACGTGTTTGTCGATCGATTCACAGGTTTTTTGATTGGTCCACCGGCTCCTCGATCGATTCACAACTGTCGATCGAATTGGTTGTGGTCAACTCGCTGTCGATATCGGTTTACGCTTTTGTTTTCCGATCGAACTAAGTCGATCGAATCCAACCTTCCTAAAAGTTTCTCCTCCTTACGAGGATGTGGATGAATGGCTCAGGAGGGTCAACGACCTTTACACACAGCGAGAGAACTTAAATATTCATCACAACATCGGAGAGACTCATGAATGAAATTTTTCGCGTTCCACTACGCGGCCGAGCGCTGTTATTACTCGAACTCTAACTATACGCACGGCGCACAGTGCGGAACTTCCATGAGTGGTGTGGACACAAATCAAAGGCCCCGTAAAAACAGACATGTACGGAATCTTAACATGCATGAGAGAGGTCGATTAAGCCCCACTGGACCTTTGTTCAACGAATTTTGACTTTTCCGGCATTCAAGAGCTGGCGCGATAGGTCAAAAGTGGCTATGCGCTAAATACGCGTGATTATACAGGGTGTCCCAAAAGTCCGTACCCGAGTTTAACCTGATTTTAACCAATTTCCAAATGCAGATATCTCCGACACTCACAAAAAGTTGCAAGAGTTCTTTCGCAGGATTGAAATTGGATGCTCAAAGTATGAGAAAATGTTATCCACCTGGAGAGATTTCTTTAGTTATCGAGAAAAGTTTATCTAAAGTTGACAACTTAAATTATACTTTGTATTTCCCTGTACTATTTACTTATTTAATTATACTTATTTAATTATACTTTGTATGGAGCGATTCCTTTTCGATTGAATTAACCTCCATTTTAAACCCATATTCAAACGATTTATTGGAAGAGAATATAAAAATATACACTCGTGTCAGAAAAATTGTCCTGATCACGAATTGCAAAACAATATTTGGAAAATTTGAAAGTCAATTGGACACATTTCTGCAAGACGGAACTATAGACGAGTGGGAAAAATGGAATGTGCTCTGGTACGGTGTCAAACGGGATATGCGCCAACTGAAAGCGGTACTCATAAGCCATGGTCATGGCAAAAGAGCGTTGTAGACAGGGCTCATGAGTTAGTGCCGACCAAGAGCGACGACGGAGACGGCTTCGTCGCCGCTGACGTCACTGGCGCTTTATAATTCCCGTTATAACTCGACTAACGAACACACCATTTCTTTCCTACCTGTCTCTGGTTCCGTTTTGCAGAAATACGTCCAATTTTGGATTTTTGTCCATGGAGCTCCGCACTGTGCGGCGGTACTGCTGGAGTGTCCCGCAACATTCCACCTGGCGCGAAAGCGTCGAGCGGCACGCAGACCTTGCACTTGAACGTAACTCAATACTCTCGATTTTCAGCTCCATTTCCTTCCTTCCGCCTCGCTCGAGTGCAGACGCCAACCCAGCGCCGTGGCGCCGACCCGTCTGTCCGCTTCGTTCGGCGCGCTTCTAGCTCGAGCGGTTTGCATTTCTCGTTGCATGCATCGGAAAATGCTACCCGCGCGCATACTTCGCGAAAGATAGAGTATACCTATATACGGGAGAGTATTGCCATTTCTGTGCCGCTCTCTCATTGGTTCATCAGTTTTAGGCTATCATGGAGCTCCGAAGTTTGCCCAATGTAATTAAATCCGACCCAGAGGAACACATATTATCGGCTGAAAAATGGATGATAATCACACTCAAATGTTAATTTCCGGTAAAAGTATCCAACAAAGTTCGATCCGAACTCAATCCAGAAGTTGGATCTAAAAAAGATTCTATCACATCCAAAAGCACGTCTAGAATTTCGTAGAACTTTGTCGCCATTATGTTACATTGGGCCAGACCAGGAGCGGAGGGGCTGGGGTTTGTTTAGAATGGGCCAACTTTGGAGCTCCATGATAGCCGACCAATCTGAGAGCGGCACACTCATCTGTAGTTAAAGGATTGAGATGGCAACACTCTTCCGTATACATACAGGTACTCTAGCTGAATTACTTTATAACGGCATTTTAATTCAAATGCTAACACTGCAAAAAAAGACATGAGCTATATAGACATACCGGCCGTTCCGGGCACAGAGGCCGAAAGTTCCAGTGCCGAGGCCGTAACTTTGAGTGCTCCGGGTGCTACACCCGAAACTTTTAGCCTCTGAGCTCGGAACGCCTACGGACCGTCCGCCGGATTGTACGTCCACAGAGTCCGTAAGTACGGCTACCACGGCCGGAGTTCTTTTTTCCTAATGAAAAAGTGGAGAAAAGGCCTGTTGCAAACTTCAGCTAGAGCAAGAGGAAGAGATGTTATTTACAGAAAATGGCGCAATAGTCACGATGAGCGCATCGGGAATGGTTTCTTGTCAAAGTTTTTCTACATGAAAGCGATAGGTATAAACGATTCTACAAAAGAGTACAAGCAAGAACATCTTAAGTCTAGGATGTTTTTACTGCGTACATTTATTTCGGTTTTCCTGCCAAAAGAAATACTATTGTCTATAACGATAACATTCTAACCAATATTGATGTATCTAGTTTTGCATTATACTTTGTTGTTAAAATCACCACGCTGATGATGGTGGCTTTGCTACGGAAATGCACTAAGCTCCATACAAATGTAAACTCTTGCTCCATGCATCCTATGATATAATTTTTTTTTTAAATTTAGATCCTAAACAGTAAAAGAAAATACGATATGTGACCATTCAAGCAAATAAAGCAGCGATTCAAATGATTCTACGCCTGAGTGGTGATAGCGCTTGATTAATGTTCAATCTTCCAAATGCCAAGGTAAGTTGATTCGTCATCTTCTTTGACCACAGGACAAGGAACTGCATGCGGGGAAATGATCGATGACTTTTGCCGAGGAGCGTTTCCCGCGGTAATTTCCTCGCCCTGTTTCTGCGGTCTGCGGCAATGCATGGTAACGATGCTCCATAAAATCGGAAGCCACCGTGTCCGAACGGGAAGTATGCACTCATGAAAGGACATTGCGTTACGATGTGCGCCATCACAGTTCAACGTTCAAACCGCGAAAGCATTTCCCGCGCGCACCATTGGACGTAATAACCGAGATGACACCGCATTGCCGTATTTGTTTAGATTTCCCGACTTTTTACTCGTTGTTTGATCAAGGTTTTTGAGTCGTTAGGGAGCGCTTTTTTATTTCAACCTTCCTCTAAAATGCTAGTACACTGGGAAAAAACACGTTGAATCTAGAAGCCAGACTCTTAAAAACATCGACAAGCAAAAGTACTTTTGATTCAATCAGAATCTAGCTTAAATCAAGAACCAAGCCTCTTAATTTAAGCGGATTTTGTTTTGATTCAAGCAAAAATCCGATTGAATCAAGAGTATTTTTTCTTCATCGACTCACGGGTTTGTCGATTGATTCACAGGTTTTTTGATCGTACTGGAAAAAAAATAACACATTGGATCTAGTGTCCAGACTCTTAAAAACACTCTTGATTCAACCATGCAGATTTAAGCTTAAATCAAGAACCAAGCCTCTTAATTTGAGCGGATTTCCTTTTGATTTAAGCTTAAATCTGATTGAATCAAGAGTCTTTTTTCTTGTCAATGTTTTCAAGAGTCTGGACTCTAGATCCAATGTGTTTTTTTCCCAGTGTATACTAGTAGCAATGCGTTCAAATGACGCACCAGCGCAACAACGAGATGGCAGAGAGGGGCCTGACATAAATAGAATAGATTTATCTGTGATTTCTTTATTTAGTGCTTGATATCAAATGACGAAGGACGAGAATTGCCTCTCTATAATTTATTTTTTTAGCGGCACTGTAGATTTCTAAAATAGATAGTTGAAATTTTGGTAAGTTCTTTCGCCTCAAAGGTGCTCATCTTCTTTGGGGAACCTAAAATCGTGCCTACGTATACGTTGGCACGATTTCTATATCAGCTGATAGGCTGATAGGCAGATAGGCAGGTATCAGATAGGCAGCTGTTTTCTACAGAAAACAGCTAAGCGCTTCTCTGATACGACCGTATCAGAGCTTTCCCGCTTGTTTTTCTTACGTTGCGTTTAAGTCTCTCGGTATATTCAGCTCTGTTAAAAATTCCCGTGTCTTGAGGTGGTAAGTTCGTGGCAAGATTTCCTATCTGCACTACTGAGGAAAGACCAACGGTAGTTTTCATCTCCATATTTATCTAATTTTAGGTTGAACTTTAGTTTTACTTTTAGTTCAGTTTTTTTTTTTTTTTTTTTTTTTTTTTTTTTCGAGTGGTGATCGTAATTTTATGAATGTAGCTGTATTGACGTGGTAAATTATGAACAAGCACTCGTAAGGAGCAAGATGGATGTGGGAACCTCATACGTTACGCAGAGACTTGAAAGTTCACGCAAAAATTGTTTCATTTCCGACATAAAGCATTACAGCCTTCCGTCCATCACGTTTGGTGTAGTTTTATGACTAGATAAAATGGGATAAAAGGGAGCAACACAATTTAAAGAAACTTCCTCGCCTAAAATTAGGAGGAAGGACTTGCCACATTGCAGATGAGCTTTCGCATGACGCAATGCCAGTTGGATGCGCATCAATGAGCTACAATAAAGAGAAATTATCTAGATTTTGTACAAATTACAGAGGTCGTTTTGAAGTTTTTTGCGTTTATTTTAAGCAAAGTTTGCAAATTATAATAGTAGTCGATTACTCTGAGGACGGAATGGCTTGGATACTTCCCGGTATCACATAAAGCGTTGAAATATATAGCCCCAAATTCCTATTAACTTTTTTTGAAGACCTTAACCTTACCCCTTCACCTTTCCCCTTTCTCTCCTCACACAAGAATTGTTCGTCAAAAAAATTGATATTTGCAAACTGTTTAGCTAATAATTGTGTTAATCTAAAATTTTGATGTTTAATTTTATGTAATTCCATGGTTTAATTATGTTTCTCTCTTATTTGCGTATGTTCCATCTAAGTAATTGAACAATTTCTCCATCATGCGGGAGAAATAATGGACAGAGGATACAAATCTGCAAAATCGGGGGACTGTAATTTGCGTGAAACTAATGACATTATGTGCTCACATTCAAATTAAAAGAATTTATGCTGCGTATGCCGCCAAAATCAAATTACCGAATTTGCAATTTCGAATAATTACACTCCTTTAGCCTGTGGTTGAGCGATATCAAATCCACTTTTTTTTTCATTGTAAGCCCCGCAGATGCCGAAAATTAAATCACATATTAGATAGTAAATTCATGAATGAGAGTTGCGGTTTTCGATGAACATGTAATGTGTATTCATTTCGAGAGATAGTCAATAGAATTAAGGATTTAGTTAGTAATTTAGTTTTAAATAAGAGAAAGTATCAAACTTTATACAAACAACAATTACTCCGAAATGCAGGAAAATTAGAAGACATAGCATGAACCTCCTTCAAGTAAAGTGAGATATTGCAACCGCAGAATCTTGAAATTTTTCTCAATTTCATATATATTTACTAAACTACCTATCTCAGGCATTTGCAAACTTTCATGATTAGAGGTTAATAAACGTCAGGATCATTCTTAATTATCCCTACATATGTTACATCGGCATTTTGAGGATCAGGACTCTCAAAAAGCAATGCGATGGCTAACGAACAGTACCGCCTATATCTAGAAACTGACGATTTTGCGGAAAAAACGTAAATGCATTCACGACATTGATTCATTGAACCGTGGTCGACCTTACTGAGAAGCACGTTGCCTAATTTGTCCTCTTGTTTCTGTGTTTAATTACAACCTAGGAAATATCCTGCTTGAAATTTTCTGAGCATCTTCATAATCAAAAGGAAAATTTATCGGGAGCGTCGATTCAGGAATATCCGATAACATGTCATCCATTACAATGGAAGCAAATAAATGGGATTCATTGAAACTTTTACTGAATTTTCTGCCTGATTTCACAATGCTAAAACAACAAAAAATTGAGGAAATTCACCCAATGGTATCCTCTCCAAAGAATAAACGAGCACTAAAAATTCTGAAATACCGCAATCAAGAAATGTCCTTTCTGCACCCAATGCTTCAATCCATCCATGTATTCCTCCTTCCACTGGTCCAATGCCTGAGAGATACGTACATGTATTGCTACTTTAGTGGGTGTATTTTGAAGATCATAGATCGATTGCGCGTTTATTGTTAAGGTCACCCGTGATAATGACATCGTTGATAGGTCAACGCTCTTGAGAGATCACGGTTGCCTCGCGATGCGCCAGCCGGCGTGACAATCGTATTTTTATCGGATCGTGACTTTTCAACTGAGAGAGTTTCAATGCACTCACTTTTACTTTTTAAACATACTCAGTGCCTTCAAAACTGACGGACGTTTGGTTCTGAGAAGAAGAGAAATTTTAATCGTCACCTAAGTGACTCCTCAACTGAGGTCATGTCGACAAAATATCAGTGCATAAAATCAATATGAACACAGTCTGTTGGAGTCGTGCAAAGAAATAATGGCTCTTAAGACGGCAAAAGGTTTTTCAAGATCGTCAAGGTGTAGCGCAAAAAACAGCGTGTTACTTTAAGATGAGAAACACGAGTAAACACTGTGCTTGACGTAAATGAAACCATCGTGCGCATTCCACCTATTCCTTACATGTGTCACAAGAGCCTTCACAAAAAATCTAACTTATCTAAAAGTACTACGTACATTTTTAACTCGATGAAATAGCCGTGAAATAACTAATACATAAACTATATGAAGAGGTGTATGACCAATTGACCAAGAGTAGCTACAAACTTGCCACCAGCTGGGCTAGACCCACGTTTTTATTTGAACTAGGAGGAACCGGGAATTTTCTGAGCAGCTAATGGATCCAATTGGTAATCAAGGTTGCAAAAGATACAAAATATTGATTACATTTAAAGAATTGTTAACTTTTTAAAATCACATGATGATTACGTTTTTTTAACCTTTAAGATTACGAAATATCGGGTGTGACTTGACTCAAAGATTGCAAACTAGAAGAGCTTGTTTTGTGGTAAAGACTTTTTTCCGTATTTTTTTTTTTTTTTTTTTTTTTTGTTCTTGAAAATATCCCCTTTTTGCAGCCACAGTCATTGCCTCAAACCAGTTACTTCATTTCCTATTCTACTACATATTTTTCTTATTTAATGTGAGATCATTTGCAGTTGATCATCCTGACTTTCCGTTGCTTTTTTCATGTCTGAGCTTGAAATTACGTTATCAACATTTGCAAGAGGGGTTTTAAGGGGATATGTCAATTTTTACCCACTTTTTGGAAGATCTCGACAAATCCATGGTTTAAATTTATTTAATCTGTATACCAATTACTTTATTTGAAAGATCGTGTTATTCAGCCCAATATCGGTTAAAAGACATTTTAAAGTGAGGAAAACAATCCACTTAAAAGCAATGCTGATTTTTAATGATTTTCTCATTAAAAGCAATTTACTCCTGAGCGTTTGGGATTCAATTAAGTCTGCCGAGATTTTTGGTCAAAAACTCGCCGAGGATGATATTTATTCGCAGCAAGACCAACTTTGCGGTTACGCACAATGAGAAGACGCGGTTTCTCAATGGAGTCATTAAATATTGGCGCACAGTGCATATACAACAAAATTTGAAGACTTCATTTGCATCCGTTTACTAAGGATGATACACTAATCCGTGGAGAAAAGGCAAAAAATGGGATATTATAGAGAAAATTTACTTTAGTCTTGCCTCGATTATAGGGCTATTCATAGACCGATCAACATGTTCGTCCTCGTTTTTCACGCGTTGATTTTTAATTTTTTGCAACAACGTGTTCGATGGGTCAAAATAAACCTTTCTTTCTCAAATTTTCCAATGGCGTTTTTTATGAACGCTACAGCTCCCCATTTCTAGGAAATAAATCGTTTTCTCTATATTTCGGCAACAGTAACGCACCAAATCTCATGTAAATTGGATTCCATCTATAATTTATAATGCTGAATGCATTCGAGACATTTGAAAAATCGGAAACTCAGTTAAAAGTGTGGTTTTGGTGGGGTTCGCAAAATACCATCTTTATCAAGAAAGTAAGTTAATGGCCGTTTTACGTCCAACACCACCCCTCTCCCCATCAATCTCAGTTTTAACTGAGATTTCGATTTTTATAATGTCTGATGCACTCAACGTATCGAATTATGGGAGCTTACCAATTTTTATGAGATTCGGTTTCTTACCGGTGTCAAAACTCAGGAAACCAATTTATTTCAATGACTTTAAGAGGGCTTTAGCCCCCTTAAAAAGACTTTTGGAACAACTTCACGGAGGAAAATGTCTTATTTTGACCCATATATCCCATATATCTCGCTCCTGTAGTCAGGTGGTTTACCCTTGAGTCACCCTGTATACCTTGATCATATTCCCACGCAAGCACTAGGGCTTGTGAAAACTGGGGGTACATTCGTTCATTTTCATCCCTTAAACATGTCTTAAATGTAAGCTTACTTCGCCAGTTGTTATGAATTCAGAAAGTTTTCGAACTTCATCAGCGGACAGACTTCCTCGTCTAAGATACCTGTATTCTAGAGGTTTAATAAACAATATTCAAATTTAATTCTTAAATTGTACGTCAGAGAGAAACTTACTTCCTAAATTGAGGATGCAGAGTTCTAGGAGAGATCACCAAAGTTTGCCGCAATTCTCCCAGGAACACTAGTTATGTAAAACTTCACAAGCACATCAAACTTCCACCCGCATTAAAAAATTAACACCCCCCTGGAAGAAAAACACCACTGACACAAACAGACTAAGCCACTTCAGATTTTACTTGCCACTCAAAATTCGCATATAGCAGAGTAAAAAATTGAAAAGAAAAGAAAATCGAACAATTAACACAAAATTATTTGTGATGAGAATAATCCAGGAAAATCCCACGAGAAACAGGTTTTTACGATTCCTTTGCGTTCGTTTTTTTCTTGCTTTGCGTTCAAGTCTCTCGGTTTAGGACAATGGGTTTCGGGTGGGCTGCGAGTTGGGCGATGAGAGTTCGCGCGGAGACTTGGGCATCACGTACGTCACGTCACGTCTTGGTTCGAGCACCGACTGAAAGAGGAGCCCGCGCGTCTTCTGCCACCCATTGCGTCACTCCCGGGGTCTCACGAGATGTAATAGCCAGCCACGCCGCCGCAACCGGTTGACTTTGGCTCCGATCCCCGCTTTTCTCACTGTTCAACCGCTCACTATGGGTATTCAAATCCACCTTCGAACCACCCGCCAACTCCTTCCCCTCTCATCTTACCCCTCCCCTTCATTTTCGAACCCCTGAGGCTTGGGCGGAAAGTGTTCGTCATCAAATTGGACCGAGTTCATCAGAAAGGAACCAACCCACATTTTTGAAAAATTGAGTCAAGGATGTTTTTGAGTTCCTCGAGTTATATATTTTTTCTGCCGAAAATTCAAAGTTGAAAAAAAAAAATATTATTTTGTGAAATAAGCAGTGGCGTGGCGTGAATTGCGATATATCGATTGTTATGCCATTTAAACCTATGGAAAAGGATCGATAAACAGGGTGTTCGCAGCGAACACCTTAATAATCGACTCTTAACCATAGGTTTAAATGGCATAACAATCGATACATCGCAATTCACGCCACGCCACTGGAAATAAGGCGTTAAAGTTTACTTTCTACACTGAGTCTTATGGAGGATTAAAACTTAAAACCTCTTTTTCTCAGTTTCATCTTGATGTGGGTTGGTTCCTTTCCGGTAAACTTGGTCCAATTATCGTTTTGCCTTTTTCCTCAAATCCTATGAACAGTTTAAAAGTTTCATGATTATGCCTTTTTTGGGTTTTAGTTACTTTTTTTGGTGAAAAACGCATATTAGCGCCTGCAAGACTGTAAGAATACGTCACGCATTGCGCCAAACACAGAGCGGTCGCTGGGCAAATGGGCTCCGATCCCCGCTTTTCTCACTGTTCAGCCGTTCACTATAGGTATTCAAATCCACCTTCGAACCACCCGCCAACTCCTTCCCCTCTCATCCTTACCCTTCCCTTCATTTTTGAACCCCTGAGGTTTGGGCGGAAAAAGTTCGTCATCAAATTGGATTGCATTTTGCAAAAAGGAACCACGAGCATTGCAATGTTGCTGAGATTGTGTAGCTCATTTTGGCTTGGAAGAAAAACCTGATTATCCATTAACAGTTCCTATTTTACCCGCTAAAAACTGTAGATTTAAGACAAAAATTACCATGAAAATTTTACATTTTTTCATGATTTTAGTATTTTTATTGCAAAGGATGAAGATGCACAATCTTAGCATCATTTCAATGCTTGTGGTTCCTTTTTGCAAAATGCAATCCAATTATTAGTAATATCCTTTTGCCTTTTTCTTCAAATCCTATGCACAGTTAAAGATTTCCATGATTATGTGTACTTTGGGTTTCGGTTACTTTTTTTGGTTAAAACGCATATTAGCGCCTAATCCACCTTCAAACAACCCGTCAACTCCTTCCCCTCTCATCCTACCCCTATTCCCTTCATTTTCGAAACCCTGAGGCTTGGGCGGAAAGTGTTCATCATCAAATTATCGTTTTGCTTTTTTCCTCAAATCCTATGCACAGTTTAAAATTTCCATGATTATGCCTACTTTGGGTTTTAGTTACTTTTACTAAAAACGCATATTAGCGCCTTCAAGTCTATAGGAATACTTCACGCGTTGCGCCAAGCACAGAGCGGTTGCTGGGCAACTGGGCTCCGATCCCAGCTTTTCTCACTGTTCAACCGCTCACTATAGGTATTCAAATCCACCTTCAAACAACCCGCCAACTCCTTCCTCTCTCTTTCATCCTACCTCTTCCCTTCATTTTCGAACCCATGAGGCTTAGGCGGAAAGTGTTCGTTATCAAAATGGACGGAGTTTAGCAGGAAGGAACCAAGCCACATCCAGCTATACCGCCAGATTTAATTGAGGCAATTTACTTTTTTACAAAAGAACGTTTACGCGGATTCCTTTGAAAATTTTAAGGATTTTGCTTTATGCTTTGCAGAAAATTCACTAAAATTTGCACAAAAATCCGCACAACCGTTTTCATGTTTAAAATTACGTTGCCCAGTTAAATTTGGCAATGGCTGATGCGGCTTGGTTCTTTTCTGCTTAACGCGGTCCAATTAATAGTATTACCCTTTTGCCGTTTTTTTTTTAAATTCTATGCACAGTTAAAAATGTCCAAGATTATGTCTACTTTGGTTTTAGCTACTTTTTTTGGTCAGAAACGCATATTAACGCCTACAAGACTGTAGGAATACTTCACGCATTCAATCCAACAATTTCTCTGTAAAAAATGAAATATTGGCGGAAATTTGTAAACGTCGCTTGTGATACTTCGGACGGAATTTGACGATATGTCTATTTAATTGGCTGCATCACTTTTGTGCAACAGATTTACTCTATATACATTTCTATCCAACATGTTATACGTCTCAAATATTGCAGAGCAGCCTTTTTTCAAGACTGTAAACGTAGATAAATCCGTTTTGCACAACGACGTCGAATACCTCCAATCAGACCCGCAACCAAAGTTGACAAATATCAAGAAAAATATGTGCCAATACAATGGCCGGGAGTAAAGCACACATAGTTGGAGTTGACCCAGGGGTCGGGTGCTGAAAGGACGAATGGAAACTTTCTCCGGCGGAGCGCATCATTGGGCCTGGGACCTGGGTCCGCACCCGCACAACTTGATTTGCTGTTGGGAGCGGGCTTGGGGACCCTTGNGGGGGGGGGGGGGGGGGGGGGGCTGCGATTACGCCGCGGCTTGCAGTCGCAGGTCATCGCGGCATACTTCGCGCAGGCTCCGAAATGCGCCTCTGGTCATGTGAATCCATTCTCGCGCATTCCTCAAATGCCTTCTTGACATAGCTACCGCGTGTATAAATGTCCCGCGTACTGCTGTGCTTAGGAAAAACGCCGAAAGAGCATTCGGATGTTGCCAGATTTTCTGCAAGAAAATACTTATTTTCGGAGAGAGTTATGCATATTGCTCCTTGAGATTTTCAGACACTTCAGATCAAATTACGAACAAAATTGTCTGAAAAATCAGAGGAAAAATATTAATTAGTACTCCCGAAATTTTGTGCTTTGTCAACAGAAATTTGGCAACGTCTAAAGGCTTTTAAGGCCATCTTTCTTTGCACGACAGAGCAGAAGAATAGAGTTGTTGTTAAACCTCGTGTTGAAAACATTCTTAATGAGTGTAATTTCTGCATGTTGTGAGAGCACTTGTATTGTACTACAATGATAAGACAATCTAGTTGTGGCTACTGACCGTTCGGCAGTAAATAAAACCCAGGATTAATTACCAGGATTCTGTTATCGTTGACCATGTATGAATTTAGTCACTATATCAGCACTTTAAGGTGCTCTGCGACTTCAACCTAAAAACAGACGAGAAAAAACACTAAAAAATGGCCTAACCAGTATGTAACAATGTGGGAAATTGATGCTGGGTCCACACCATTTCGCGGGGAAAGCAAAGCCAAGAAGCTCCAAAAAAATTTAAATTAGAGTAAAAAAAATGTTTTGCTCTAATGAGTACTAGTACTGAGCTGAACACTCTCCCCCCTTCCTCAGTCTTGCACTGGTTAAAATTAGAGTAAAATGCTTTTTTGACTCTAATTGAACAAATTTTGGAACTTCTTGGCTTTATTTCCCCTGCAAAATGGTGTGAACCCAGCACCGTATCAGTCTCCACCTTGTTACCTTAAAATAAATATGGAATTAAAAACACCTTTTTTATCTTGTCAGCACTGTAGACAGGAAATTTTACAACGAACTAGTCACCTAAACGCACGTAATTCTTTAACAGAATGGAAGAAATCGAGAGACTTGAACGCAAAGCAAGAAAAACAAGCGGGAAAACTCTAATAAGTTCGTATCATAGAAGCGCTCAGCTGTTTTCTATGTAGGCGTAACGCTTAAGAGGGAGGGGGTAGAGGAGAGGGTTACGTCATTTTGATTTTACCTGTTTAAAGATAGGGACCTACGGCACAAAATCGTGATAAGGGGGCGTAGGGTCAAAAATGCCGGAAAAGTGCGTTACGTATTTAGGGACGGCCCGTAACATTTTAGGAGTGACTATGATTACAACCGTGAACTTTAGCTGATTGAAGGTCGGGTAGTTCACACCCGCGATTCATTTTTGGTGGACAATTCAACCCCGTTCTGAAATAATGACAAATAAAATGACAACTATGCGAACTCAAACCGATCACGAAAACGCAGCAAAAAATCAACAAAAATCCCTTCGCACTTTAAGGGTCAACTTTCGACCAAAATAACTTACCACGTACTTACATGTGACACTACTAACGATGTAATCATTGTACATCGATCGGAAAGGATTTATTTTTTTTGTAAAAACACAAATTCATAGCTTCGAAATGCAAAATGTAGGAATTACAAGCGTTACAGTTTACATTGATCTTACTACCTAATTTTCGGTCCGACCAAAAATTATATTTATTTCATAATCTCAAAATCGTATCTACTTGAATCGTATCCGGATCTGCGCCGCCTAAATAAGAACCCCACGATTTGGTGCGTTTTCGTGATAGGTTCGAGTTCCGATGCATAGTTGTCATTTTATTTGTTCTTATTTCAGAACGGGTGTTTTACTTTCCAAGAGAGAACATCCGCGCATGAAATGTTACTATTGAAATCCTGCTGTCGTTTTATTACCCTCCCCGCCGCGCCACTCGTGAACTTGACTCATCCCGAAAGAGAGGCATGTGAGATACACGATATGCATTAATTGATGCGCTCCGCCGGTGGAGGAACAAGCGATTTTATTAGGCTTGAAAATGGCTTAACGGTCGCAGAAATTGGGAAACTATCGCGATCCGCCGGCACGATTGAGTAATTTTCGCCTGCAATTATGCAACCGCGATCATGATCGGGAGGTTAGGGACGGTGAGCGATAGACGCGCCGATTTAGGTCAATAAAAATTTAGTGGGAAGGATGCGTGACGGCTCTTATCACAGGCCGGCAACCGGGTGCATGTGCAATATGATTCATTGTAACAAAGGCTGCAGTTCTGCACGCTGTTAATACCGCGGCTGGCGCTCGTACGTTGAGCTCGGAATTTATATCGGACCTAGTGCTTGCGGTAACTCATCAAATATTGAGAAATAAAAGATTTTCA